AGTGATTCAGCGGCAAGTAAAGGAGAGAAAGAAATGGATGGTGTCTGCCGAAGAAGCGCTGGTTCGTGCGTTATGTGGAAATTTACATGTTGGGTGGTGGTGATATTATGTATTATTACCTAGTGAATATTTCAGTTCGTGGGTGGTTCTGAGCTAGGATTCGGAAAGGAAAACATGGCGCATATGTCTAAGCTGTTATGCCTGGTTTCTGAGGATGTTTTTTGGCTGGAGTGAGATTCTGGCGAGATCGTGAGAGAGAAAGGTAGATGGCTTTAATCGACATGTACAGAAAAGGGCAAGCGCTTGTCCAGTCGGATACGGAATCTGTTGAAGTCTGGTACGTTTCAAATTTGTTTTAATTATTCTTGTTGTATGATTATCTGTTATGGTACATACATGAATAAAGTACAGGTTTCTTTGCATCATTTACATGCGCTGGCATTACACGTCCCAATTAAAGTGGTGCCCGCTACTTCTTCGCAAACGCCTTTTGCCGATCCGCATACTCCTTGACGACGATAGAGCAATTGGTTTCGGCGCACAGCCGCTTCCTCCGGCTCACGGGCAGTTTGCTCGCGAACTCGAGGCCAGACGCGCGCTCGACGGCCTCCAGCGGCACCTCAAAGTCGCTCAGCGGCTTCTCGTTGGGAATGGCGGCGTTGGGGAGCACAAAGGCGCCGAGGGCGACCTTGCCACCGGGCGCGGCCTGCTCTTCGGCATAGATGACCTTGTAGAAGTGCGTGGGCACGGCGACGTTGGGTGGGTTCCCGATGACCTCGTACTTGACATACCACTTGTTGTCCTGGGGGTCCCGCTTGGGCAAGTACAGCGGGCCCGTGACGACGCGGACGCTCGGGTAGCGGTAGGTCAGGCGACGGCAGAAGTCCTCAAAGTGAGCCCAGTAGTCGCGGTTGAAGCCCTCCCCGACTTGGGGGCACATGTTGGACAAGTAGAAGGTCTCGTCCATGGCCTTTTGCGACCACTTGCAGTCGGCGGCGGGAACCTGGTGGCCACGGTCATAGCCGGAGCGGAAGTAATCCTTGAGCTTGGCCTGGAACTTGTCCGGAATGGTGGGGTCCTCGAGGAAGGCGCTGTTCTTGCGGTCGCCGTCGCGCATACCCAGCGATGCGGGCGTAATGTGCTCAGCCACCCAATGCGGGTTGCGCGTGCGCCGGTCGAACGACGAGATGAGGGCCTGGCGAGTGGCGAGGTCAGCAGTGGGACCGGAGAAACCGTATTCGAAGAGGCCGGCGGGGTTGACGGGGGCGCTCAGGATCGTGCTCGAGGCTGGAAGCGCCAGAGGGGGGGGCGCAGCGGACACGGGAGCGCTGGTTGTCTGGGTGCTGAAGACCTGGGAGGCGGGCACGGGAACGGCGGGTGCGGAGGGCAGTCTCGTGGCAGCGGCACTAGTAGTGGTAGTTGTCGTCGTTGTCGTCGTTGTCGTCGTCGCTTCGGGCTTGCGCATCGTGTACATTGCCGCCGTGGCGGCTGCGCCGGCGCCGGCACTGACGGCCGCGATGACGGCGATGGTCGTCTTGGACATGTTGAGACGCCGTGCGGGACCAATTTTCTGGAGAAAGGGTTGGCTGTGCACCCTGACGCCGCCCTGCTGCCGTGATGTGGGATTTTTGGCGGCTCGGAGTTTGCCGTTGCCGGCGAGGCTGAAGCCAAGGTTTTTGGTGTCTCAGACAACGACCCACCTGAGGCTCCCTTGTTCGCAGCCCCACCTCAGAGTGGTGTATGCAGTAGTGTACATACACGAAGCCTGACGGACATCAGGAAACCCTCGCTTTACAGGTTGCACGCCCTAGGCATGTAAATTACATTGTAACTGCAATTGCTCCCCAAAGCACCTACCAATCTCCTCTACTAAGGTATGTCTTTCAGAAAATGAGAATAAGAACAGTAACAGAGGGCCGCTGCAAAGGAAAAAAAAATGCCAGGAGCTTATATATGCTCCGTAGACGTTGTTTGCAGGTACCAAGGCACGTGCACCCAGATACCGCCCGTTGAGTGAAACAGCAGGGCGAGGTGTGGACTTGTTTAACACGCAAAACCATTCCAAATTCGCTGTTTTAAGGGGTCGCAAGGGTTTGTCGGCTGCAGCGCGGTTGTGACCGGCCATCAAGGTGCATCTTCGAGATTCAATGATATTAATTGTGACTAAAAACGGAGAGCTGCGTCGGAGAGCATGGCCTGGCCATCAAGGTGCATCCAGGAGTTTCGCTGGCTGGCCAGACGTTACAAATCCCAGCCTCCCCACAGGCCGACTTTCTTTTCTTCGTCCCGACTTTACAGGCACCCGGCGGCCCATGCCCTGTCATCCAGCGCGGGGGGGGTTCCACTTCACGTGACGGGGCACCATCAGTGATGCCATTGAAGAAGGAGCCTCTCAAGAGGTTGCATCAAGTAATTCGAATCTGGCAACAGCGAGTGAACATAGGACTGTTACGTTATCTTAAAATCTGGGTAAATTCAAGATTTCCGCCCGCCAGCGGGACCTGTGACTGGAAACTGGTCTCGAGTCTGTTATCTTGGTAGTAGGCCTGGCCATGTGCAGGTCTGATATCAGCGGCCGCTGCAGAAGGTGCTTCCCTCGCACCAGCGTTGGCCCATTCTGGCCCTTCTTGAGGCAAAATCTGGAGGCCGCTACGGAGTAATCCGTACACTAGGGGCTAGCAGAGGCCGGGTACCTCCAACCTACCAACCCTACCTACCCATCGAGGTTCTCAATGCAATGACGGTTATCCAAGCAAAGCATCCAATCCCATATTGACTCGCCCATTGATTTTTGTCCTTTGTCTCCGCACTCTCTGCGAACCTCAACCCGCCGCCACACCTGCGCTTGCTCAACGCCTTTTAGCGACAAGGTCCAGGACCTCACTGGCGTCAACGCCGCCGGCAGCAAATTCCTAGAAGAAGACAAAACCTAAGGAAACCTACGCCGCAGTCTTCCCAGGGCAGAGCACCATCCCTCCGTTCAAGGCTCGCCGCCATGGATTCAAGCGCTGTCGACAACGACACGCGAGGCTGGATCCTCTGTGGCTTCAGCGGCCTCGCCTGTATTTTCGGCGCTTCCGTCATTTGCGTCGATATCCCTATCCGCCTCATCCCAAGCAAGCGCCACTTCCGTATCCAAGAAAGCAATGCCTTCCTGGCCTGCTCTCTCAGCCTGAGCTTTGGCGTCATGGTGCGTAGATAGCCTCTCGCTGTCGCCTTGTTTCCATTCAGTGGCTCGTTGCTGATTCTGCTTCTCAGCTCTTCTCTGCCTTATATAGCATGCTGCCGTCCGCAATGCGCTACCTCGCCAGAGATCACTGGGACGAGCACAGGGCTGGCTTTCTGATGATGGGTTGCTTTATCGGCGGCTTTTTCGGCATCCAGCTTATTTCGCGTGTGTTACATCAGTACATGCCCTCGCATGTCGTCGACTGCGATCACACCCATGACAACCTCGCTGACGAGGAGCTCGGCCACGGCCATCACCACCACTCTCTGTCGAAAGTATCTTCGCACCAGAGTGATGGCGAGACTCCGCACATGGTCGAGGTAGCCGACACCATCACCGAGTCAACCCCTCTAATCCCCCCTGTTTCTGAGGTCCCGCCGAATGGCCATATTCACACTGAACTACGAGATGGTGGCGCTGCGCCCACAGTCGAGGCTGTTACCCACATCGACAGTTCCCAACGCCGGGCATTTACCCAGATCCGACGACCCTCGATGAATGTCCGGGTCCGGGTTATGTCCTTCTTTAAGGATACGAAGGCCAACTGCGATGAGGACGGGCCCTGCTATGGCTACTCAGACCCTTGTGGACAGGAATGCTTCAAACATCTCGGCGCGCGCTTCGCCCTCTCCCGGTCCGGCACATCGCTTACCGAGAACGGCGACGGCCTTCTGGAAAGCGCCGTTTTGACCCCTCGCTACCGCATTATTCGCACACCTTCCCACCCCTATGACGATGATCACCATCATCCCCACCATCACAACGCACATGTACACACACACTCCCACGATAGCGACCCAGAGTGCCCCGAAGACACCGAGGCCCAGCACCACCACCACGTGCCGACTAACGCCTTCCTCTCCATTGGCCTGCAGACCGTCATCGCCATCGCTCTACACAAGTTTCCCGAGGGCTTCATCACGTACGCGACCAACCACGCCAGTCCCTCGCTCGGTTTCAGCGTCTTCATGGCCCTCTCGGTGCACAACATCGCCGAGGGCTTCGCCATGGCCCTACCATTGTACATGGCCCTGGGTAGCCGCGTACGCGCCATCTTCTGGTCCGCCCTGCTCGGCGGCTTCAGCCAGCCGCTCGGCGCCGCCGTCGCCGTTGCCTGGTTCCACCTGGCCAAACGGACCAATTTTGAAATCGACAGCACCGCCTACGCCTGCCTCTTCGCCGTCACCGCCGGCATCATGGTCAGCGTCGCGCTGCAGCTATTCGTGGAAAGCCTGGGCCTGAACCACAATAGGAATTTGAGCATCTTCTTTGCGTTTCTGGGCATGACGCTGTTGGGGGTCAGTAACGCTCTTGTTTCTCACTAGACGGGATGTATCGGTGTGGGGGCAACTGTAAAAGTGTTTGGTTTTCTTGGCGTTGGGGATGATTTGGTTACGGCCTACGGAATAGCAGAGTAGGGGGTCTGGACTTGGGTTTCTGGGTGTTTGGATTGGGTATGACATGGTTGGGGTTGGATCTTCATACTCACACTTGAAGTGAAACTTCAAGTTTACGAAGAATGTAGCCTATAAAACCTGTTCATTGTTATCCTGTTGACTAGCGGTGCTCATATCACACACGAATCGTACAAGTTCCTTGCCTCAGCCGACCTCTGATGTTCTCGTGGCAGCTGTTACAAGCACTAAACTGAATCCGCCCATGAGCTCACCCATCCCACCTCACAACCTGGACCAAAGCAGCCAGAAGGACGCTCGCTCGTGCGCCTTGCAAGAGAGAGAGAGAGTGAGGAGCGAGGAGCAAAAAGACCAGCTGCCTAATGCAGGAATCGAACCTGCGATCTTTGCATGTTGTCAAGAACTCTGGGAGGAGGTTCGGTACAAGTGCAACGCATTAGCCACTATGCTAATCAGGCTGGCTAGCTTAGCGGTTGTAGTTGTAGGTACAAGGCTTGTGAAACGGCCTCCGTGGTGGTGAGACGCCCGGTGGGAAACTCTTGGTGGGTCTTCCCGAGAACTGATACTAGGAGACTTGACTATTCGGTTTGCTGCTGATCAACCAGCCGAAGGAGAAATGGTTTGTATGGTATGTTTACTTCGGAAAGTCTGGTTGTGACTGGGAAAGAGAACGCCTTCAATCCCGCCGGCGCCTTTTTCCGTTCACAACCTTGGTGACTCCCATGAAAACAAATCAGTCACCGTCGTACTTCTTCTCTCCATTAGCGACCTCTATTTTGTGAGCCATACTATAGGTTCGAACAGCGCAGATCACCAAACACACATAAGGTGACACAGCCCAACCATAGAATGCAGTTTTGATGCGGAATGGAGAATGAGAAAGTGATTGCTTGTCTCGCCACTCTCTCAAACTTCGCACCTCGCCCCAAGAGCTCATAAGCCCAGCAACAACCTTTGATCTTTCAGGAACTCCGCAAGACAAGCAGGAAAAGCGCAAAAGCAGTATCAAAAAGACACCAAATCAGCCGCTCGCCAAGTGCAATGTGTAATAAAAGGTATTTGTGTATGTTAAAAACACCAACGGAATACGTAATACTCAAACATGGTCCCATAAACCGCATCCCTCATCTCGAGTGTATCACAAAGCTTCAACCCAAACGAGAATCCGTCCCCCCCAAAGTCCGGCGCCAATAAGCTAGCCGCTCTTTCAGCTGTCGATCGATCAACCGGCCGGTTAACCAGTTTATCTTAGGACAAAGAGATAAAAGAGGAAAGCGACATTTTTTCCGTCACCTCCCAAATGGGTCCATCTGGAGCCCAGACGGAGCGAAAGCGAAAAATATCGAATAACGTGAACGCCATGGCACCGGTAACCCCCGTATTCCGCTCCCGACCGGCCGCCGCAAACACAAATCGCCTTATCAAATCACACAAGACCGGGAATTAGGACTAAATAAACGGACCCCGTGAATTTGCCAAACCACTGTCGGGCCCGCACCAACGTCATTCAACAACGCCCTAATCCTCATCGCTCTGCATGCCGCTGCTCCCACCGTTAACCTGGCCGCCCGCGCCATTTGAGGCATTGACATTGGCACTGGAATTGGCCGAGTTGGAGACCAACTTGATCCTCGTCGGCGGTCCGCTGGGCGTCGGCTGCGGCGTTCCGTCGGTAGCTGCTGTTGACGGGGCGGCTGAACCGTCCTTGGCTGCTTGCCCGGTGGCTGCAGAAGTAGATGAGTCCTCCAGTGCGCGCAGGTCTGCGTTCTCAGAGAGCTCTTTCTCGAACTGGGATTTGAAGAATGCCTGTTGACGGGCAGGTTAGTAAAATGAGCAGAAAAGATGGGGTCAGGTAAACATGGGTGGAAGTAACGTACCTCGATCAAATTCACATCCTGACAGATCCCGCTGCTCTCTTCGTTGAACGTGCGACAGTTGCTGACCATCAGGTCCAAGTCCCTCCGCATGTCGGCCAGGCTTTGGTACTCCTCCTTCTTGATCTTCTTTTGGATATCGTTCATGCAGATCGGATTGGCAATGATGAGATAGTAATCGCCCCAGTCACGCTTGGGCGGGAGCTTGACGAAAGGCCCAATGATGAGGCGCTTCGGCGGACCATCGTCATCGCCGTCAGGGTTTTCTTGGGGCTCATCATCATCCACCTCGAGGTTCATTAGGCCGTCGAAGATGCGTCTGAGGCTTCTCTGCAGCTTCTCGCGCACCTCGGGCGCGAGGCGGCTCTCAGAGCCGTTCAAGCTAACCGCCTTTGGACGTCCCTGCGGTCCACGGCGCTTCTTGGCCGGAGGCTCGTCCTCACCTTCCTCCGCCTTGCGCTTGTCCTGGTTCTTGCTACCCGGCTTGCGCCCGCGTTTCTTTACCGGTGTCTCAACTTCTTCGGTGCTAGCGCGGCTAGCAGCTGGCGAGTTCTCTATCGAACCAGTCAAGAGACCCTTGCGCTTCAACTTGTTCAACTCGCGCTTTTCTCTGCGGGCTGCCTTGCGCGCGGCAGCCGCTTCGGGCGTGTCTTCATCGTCGTCAACTGCCATGAGCCATTGCTCCTCCGTAAGCCCATCGTCGTACTTGACCTTAGTACGCTCACGGGCTCCACGACCCAGGACCATTTCCACCTCTTCTTCGACGGGATTGCCTTCGTTAAGGTAAATGTCCGGCAGCTCGTCCTCAGTCATAAGACGCGAGACACCTTGGCAGCCCGGCGCTGTGCCGTAGATGGGGTCGCGTGTCCGCTCCTCATCCAGCTTCTGGAATGTCGCAAGTTCCTCGTCGGTCCGCGCAAGAATCATATTCAACTCCTCGTCATCCATTTCCTCCTGCTCACCAGACTCTGCCATGTCGGCGGTTTCAAGAAGCGTCCTCAGCATGGCATCACGGTCCGTCTCCGACGACTTGTTGTCGAAACGACCTGCCTGAATAACCTTGCCATCCATGTCGAGTTTGAACCTGGCGCGCTCGAGGATCTTCTCTTCGACGGATGCAGAGCTGATAAGTCTGAGAATTCGCACCTCATTCTTCTGGCCTATACGATGGGCGCGATCCTGCGCCTGCAGATCTTGATGAGGGTTCCAGTCGGAGTCGTAGATGATGACGGTGTCGGCTGTCTGCAGGTTCAGACCGAGACCACCAGCACGGGTCGAAAGAAGGAACATGAAGTAGGGCGAATCCGGTCGGTTGAACTCTCGTAGAAGCTCGGACCGATCTTCCGACTTTGTGGTACCGTCGAGACGGAGGTACTGAATGCCACGGAAGCGGAGGAAGTCTTCCATAATGTCCATGATGGCCGTCATCTGGAAGAACATCAACACGCGATGGCCCGTCGCTTTGTACTTGGGGAGAATTCTGTCCAGAAGCTCGAACTTGCCGGCCGTCCGCCAGAGGAGGTCGTTGCTGACGTTGGCAGGATTCATCTGGTTCTCGACTTCGTCGAACACAAACGGGTGGTTGCAAAGCTTCCGCAGCTGCATGATCATGTTGCTCAAACCACGAGCACCCGTCTTGCCGCCATTGCCATCGCTGACGGCAATCTTCTGGTGGGTAACCATCTGCTTGTACAGCCGCGCTTGCAGCGCCGAGAACTTGCACTTGATGACCTTTTCCGTCTTGTCGGGTAGGTCCTTTTCAACATCCTTCTTGAGACGGCGCAACAAGAACGGCCGCAGCACCTTATGCAAGCGACGAATGACCAGAATTTGTTCTTCTTCTGTAAGCTCCATCTTGTCCTGGCCGCCAGTGTTTGCGAAGGGTGTGTTGAACCACTCATCGAATGTCTTGACCGATTTGAAGATATTGGGCAAGACGAAGTTGAGCATGGCCCAGAGTTCGGCAAGGTTGTTTTGCAGAGGGGTACCTGTGAGAATGAGGCGGAATCGGGTGCTGTAGTACTGTTGAATCGTGGCGCTCAGCTTGGAGTTTGCGTTCTTCATACGGTGGCCCTCGTCGATGATCATGTGGAACCATTTGATCTTGCTCAAGAGAGGGCGGTCCTTGATGATGTACTCGTATGTCGTGAGCAAGACCTGGAACCTGCCTTGGCGAATTTTCTCCTGTTGCATCTTCCTGGCATTTGGAGGACCCTTGTAGACCACCTTGGCAACCGAAGGAGCCCATTTGTCGAATTCCAGGTTCCAGTTGGTCAAGGTACTTAGAGGGACAATAACCAAGTACGGGCCTTGTTGATGCTTCTTCTCGATCAGGTATGTGATCAAGCTGATGGTTTGAATTGTCTTGCCGAGACCCATTTCATCAGCAAGAATACCGTTGAGGTTGTTGTTATAGAGAGACAGCATCCACTGCAAGCCCTTGAGCTGGTACTCCTTGAGAGTACCGCCGACCAGAATGCTGGCCTGTTCGGTAACCTCCTCCTTGATACGATGGGCAACAGCGTAGTAGTCAATCTTCCGGCTGCTTTCCTCGTCGTCTTCGTCGACGTCGCTCTCCTCGGGAATCTCGACCTCCTCGCCATATCGTTCGGCAGCCTGCCGCTGCTGAGCGCGAACAGAGGAGGCAAGCTGGTGCAAGAAGCCGTCCGTCTGGCGAAGCAAATGAGTGATACGGGTATCCTTGGCCTGGTCGAGCAACTTGAGGTAGGCCTCTTCGTCGTTGGCCTTGAGCGCCTGCAGACGCTGCTTGGCTGTCCTCTCGATCCTCTTCTGCTCCTCTTTTTCAATGTTGAAATGATGAGCATACATGTGACGACTGAGTCTTTGCGTTTTTGAACGCTGAGCTTGGCCGGCATTGAGAACCTCGTTGCGGTGGTTGTAGACGGCCTGGAGGAAATCGACGTGTCTCTTGCGCTCCCGGTTCTCACGCGCGTCACGTTGCTGTTTCTCCAACTTTTCGGTGACGCGAGCTTCCCGGACGTTCTGCTTCTTCATGCGGCGGTAAGCGGCTCTGTTGGTGGTCATGGCAAGGTTGTCGTAGTGCATCATCTGCTTTCCAATCCTGTCCCTCAGTGCCCGCTGCTTGGAGTAGAGTGCCAACTTCTTCATCTCAATGATGGCTTTCCTCTTGGCCGTGTCATCAGCCACAAGGGAGTCCTGAGACGCATCCCAATGTGCCAAGTTGCCGGGGAGCGACTTCAACTCCGAGTACCTGGCGCTCATGCGGTTGAACACAATCTTCTCGCGATCCGCCCTCAGTTGCTCGAAGTCAATGCCCGTTGGAAAGATTCCGGGGATAATTAGACGATTTTTCCGGCGCCCATGGTCCATGTAAGAGATAGTTTGGCGCACGAGCCCACCGTCGTACGGAGACTTGATTGTCTTGAATGTCTTGGGCTGCGGAACTGGTGAAGTTTCACCTTGGGCGCCGCCTCCGCTAGGGCCGGGCTTTGAAGCGTCCTGTCCCGAACCGTCCGAAGCAGCGTTGGTGGCGGAGGACTGCGTGTCTTGCTTTGCTAGTGACGTGCGGCGCCGCGCCCTGTGTTCGAATATGGCCTTCTGCA